CTGAGGGTTCGGATCGGTCTCCTTTGACTTGCAGCTCGGCCAAACATGGTGCAACGACTTCTGGACGGGCACCTCAGGGCCACTCTTCACAGCTGAGCGACTTCAAAACAGCTAAAAGTGAAAGTTAAAGTCTGTCACGGTCACATTCTGATTCTCATGTTGCAATTCATGGGGCCCCAACTTTGGAATCTTCAGTGGCCTTTGAAAGTCGGGGCTGCGAAACAATATCTAAAACAACAAATTGCTGAGAAACCAATTAGTTAGTCAGTGTATGACCAATGAAGCAGATCAAATGACATCATTCGGCCTTTGGCGGCAAAAGAACAAATTTAACCTGGTGCAAATTCTGCGCAACTGGCATTGATCCAAAAGAAGTGTGCCTCAGAAGCTGCAACCTCTTCCTGATTGAAATCAAAATGGAAAACAATCGCTGGCTTCGCGAGCCTCTGGGGCAGATTCCTCACTGAAGTAGAAGTCGAAAGCCGCAGCGGGGTTGATGCCACAAAACCCATCCCAGGCCTCACAAATTCAGCCCATGGTATGAAAACGCTTTCCATCGCATAAGCAAACCTGTTCACAGTTAAGTTAGATTCTGAAGGCGCGAGGCCTTCGTCCGCTTCTGACCACGCTGAGCGCCAGAATCCAGGACCGAATCGAGAGGACCATCAGCCATGATCAACAAATTGGTCCACCACTGGCGCTCCAAACCAATGTTTTGGTACAACAAAATGTCTGCAGCCAACATGGACCGTCGCTAAGTGCACAGCTAGCTGATTTACAACACGGTCAACTTCAGTGTTTCCAAAACAAAGAACAAAGCTCACGCACGATTTGGCAAGAGATCCTCGCAGAAAGGATCTGTCAATAATGGACTCAATGGAGTTGGTACACCAATCCAACTCTGGTCGCGTGACGTGTCGCTGAGGACTGCGCACGAAGAAATCCCTGATCCCTGGATTTCTAATTACAAGAAACTGCAGCTGAATGACATCGAAATGCCAGGCTCCGACTCTGACTCTGCTAGTTTATAGGTTTGCAAGTTGATTCAACACATTCACTTGAATGTTTTGATCGCTCAACCAAACATTTAGAACAAATGCCCGAATCTACGCTGCTAATACTGTTCCAAGGAGGGCGTCAACAAACAATTTCACCTGCCTAAATACTTTGGTTTGGGGGTTCGAAGACTTAAAGGTGTCAGAGTCTATGGAGCAGTGCCGCGGAGCCGATGCTCTAGAAGGTGTGCTCCGAGTTGGGCCACTCTTGGCATCACGATATTGCCCAAGCACTTCAAACGATCGCGGTCCTCTGAAGTTTGGTCGGCAACAAGCCACCTGCAAAGCTTTGGCTTGCCGACGACATTCCAAGGAGCTTGCGCTCGAGATGTCATAGTGGCCTGCGACATGATGGGAACGTCCTGCGCTTGCAGGACAAATTGAAAATCAAAACAAAAAGAATTACCACCCTTCTCCTTGAAATGGAACCCACTCTTGGCGGCGAATAGAAACACCCACTCACGACCGACCTCAAACCATCTGAGAGCGTTAAAGAAGCAGCGCGCGGAAGGCCAGCTATCCTCACTACTAAGGCTCTCGCGTGGGCCCCAACCATGTGGCCACTTAGCGTGATCCACGTCAAGGTCCAACCACGAGAAGTGAACTCCTGCAAAGGAGAATAGCCAAACGTGTTCAAGTCTAGCTGCGTTAGTAAAAAACTATAGCGTGAGTGAAGCTGAGACAAGGATCGGGGGAAGGAAGACCATTGCACTCAATGACTTATTACTATGAACCTGAGTTGACTCTCCTCAACGATGTAGGCCATAAAGCCTTTCATAGCCTTCTGGACCAAGTTGGCGACATTCTCGAGGAAAGCGAACCTCCTAGCATGATGCAGCCAAATGCCGCGAGAGTCCAAGAACTGACATTCAATTTCCATCGTGCATAAGTATGAGGCCTACAAACTAGCCGTTGCATTACAAAACTCATTGCCACTGAAGGTCAGCTGAGGCATTTCATCGATTATGCGGAAGATGTGGCAGCAAAGGCTGCTTCGAGAGTCGTCCATCCCCAACTGCAACCCTGCCTTTGATATCCCCTCAGCAAATTTCAACAAAGTACATGTTACACTTAAATTTGATAAACGCGAACTTCCAACCAATGACTTACAGTGTATGCACCGTGCAAACAAAGCACCTGGCAGGGAAAGCCCCCGGTTAGACCGAGTGCTCCCCTGCATTCTGCATGATTGCCTGGATGAAAAGTGGTCACATCGTCGTATATTGGAACGCTCGGCAGGCGCCATTCATGCATCCGGGCATTCAACACGGACTTGGCGAAGGCGTCCCTTTCAACCTGGCGGTCCATTTGACCACCCAGCTGCCAATCCAAAAAGATCCATCCAGGATGGTGCAGCTTGTTACTGGCAATTCATCTATGATATGACAAATTCAACATTCACCAAACTCAGGCCAGCACAAATGCCTTGGCCTCACAAAACCTGAGCACACCGTATCAGCAAACCAACTGGTGAAAACATTTGGCCTAGCCTACACACCATTGAGTTGGTAGAAGCTCTGGGGGCAAAGCTCGTGGAGTCCCAACTCGAGTCCGCCTAAAAACAAGCTAATGATTGGCATCTTGGCAATGCGCGAGTCCTGCAAAGTCGTGCGTCAAACACCGTTCAGCTGTACTGGCTGGGCTACTGGGCTACTAGGAAGAAACCTGTAACTGACACGACAGCACGTCCTGCGGCGAAGGGAAAAGGCTCTTGAACGCCGATGTCTTGACTGCCCCAATGTGAGGAGACGACCAGCCAGGGGGTAAGCCTTAGTGGCGCATCTTGCCACCGACGTGAGACACCAAGGAACATACCTATATATGCCAACAAAACACCGGCCATCAACTCAGCCAGATTGGGTGGCACAAACTTCAGCTGGTCGATCTGCCTCTTGTTCCAGCCTCGAAGCCGGCACGCCGCCTGGAAGTCGGCCCAAAAATGGATCTGTGTCCCCAGGTCCTGGCAGGCCATCAAATGAAAGCACAAATGTTTATCAAGAATCTTGTTATAAGTATTCTTGCTGACTGGTTCACGGGATTCCAAAAACAAAGTTGAGGTTGGAAGCAACACTTCACCCCTTTCCTGCTTTCCCCTCTCAGATAAATATGCAATGTTCGCCCGTGTCGTTGCTGAAAAGCAACCTAGCAATCAGGCACAGCTACTACTGCTGTAGCTGCACTCCATCTGCAAAAAACAAGTGAACAAAACTAGTCGGCGTTGATTGAAGAGCAAGGACTGACTGAGCCAAGCGCGGACGGTACCGTAGGCCTTCAGAACAATCCTTTGTGTGCATAAACGATCGGTCTTCGGTGAGACCTTCTTCTGGATCTTTTTGGGTGGAACCTGGGCGGACTACAGGTTTGCTTGCCCCAAAAACGCCCAACAACCTTACGTGAGTGTCAGTGTTTCAACGCTGCTGTCTTGAACACAACTGCCCACGCGTGCCCCAACTTGAGACCAGGAACCAGCACCATGTTGAGTGGACCGTTGTGAGGTCGACACAACGGACTGAACTTCTCCACAACAACTTGGCCTCCACTCGAAAGACCTGCCTCGCCAGTCTTGGGAAATACAAGCTCGCCCACAGCTGGATCCTGCGGAGATCAAAGACATGCATCTTACTGAAACAAACGCTGGCTCACAACAACCAAAAGAGGGCAATTTGATCTTGCAAAAATGTCTCACGTTGACTCAACTCAACAACAGTTGCATGACAGCGGTTGGTCTTGGCAAACCTGCACCACAAAATAAAATCTATTTGCACCGTCAGTCTAAAAAACACTGGCCTCTTTCTTATTCTTGCGGTCCGCCGTCATAGGTTCATCACTGGGCGTCAGCGGTGAACAAACGGAACAACTTGACAATCTGTGCGAAAAAGATTAGAACCAACTGCGGACCCTTACTAACCTCCACAATGGGTTCTGCTTTAGCATCATTTCCAGCTTTCCAAAAGTCGCTCTGAAGTCTGAAGTCTGATCAAGCTGGGGGCAAGGCTCACTCAGCTGCGTGATTGGAGCTAGTGGCATCACGGCAGTTCCGATGAGCGTCGACGATCAATGGCGTCAGCGCTAGGAAAAAGCGAGCGGCCAACAAAAAAGTAAATGAAAATCACCCCCAACTCTCGGATTGCGAGTCTTAAATTTGATCTCTGAACCTTGCAAGTTTCGCCAGGCACCTCGCAAACCTGTGGGTCACTCTACAAAAATGAGCCTGAATGTCACAAAAAGCTGCTTAGTAGGGCGCTGCGAGTCGACATTTGAAGCATTGATAACTGACTCACGGTGTAACCCTAAGGTGAGACTCAGGGACCACAAGTCTTCCGCATTGCACCCACCCAGTTTGAAACCGGATGTCCATTGTAACCACATGTTTGAGGGGTTCTTGACGCGCAAAGGCCACATCGATGGAAACACCATTGACACGCATTCCAGTGCAAATTACAGCAAAAAATGCAATATATAGATAGAAGGAAACTTTATCAAAGCTCTGGGAAATGGACGGTTAGCGGGTTGCAAAACAAAGCCAGAGATAAAAGTATACTATTTCTTGCGCCTTTTTATCATCGGCTTTTGGGGCGGTGCGTCAACGTGCCAACATGCAACATGGCTGCGCGGCAACCTAGTTCGCGACAAACTACTTGTCTACTATATCGTACTAGTGCAGCTAGGAGCGCATGAACGGCAAGTGGGATTGTGGTCAAAGTCCAAGTCTATAGTTGTTAACATTCCAGGCGGCAATGCCCGTGAGAACATCAATGGTGCATGCAAGTTAGCAAGGCGGCAGGATGCGGCAGGCAAAGCAGCCTGAAGACCCGATGCAAAATGGACACCCCCTTGCAAGGCAAAGGGCTTTAAAATGAAACTGCAAACAAAGCAAGACTTATGTCAAGTCAGAAAAGTATTCCGAGACAGGGGCGGGGAACCTGTCGCGAATCACAATCTTGCCTCAGCGCTTCACTTTCAGCTTCGGTTTCAGCCTTCATTGCAACTTGCACGCTTCGACACCTGCAATCACTTGCGGCTCTCATTTTTGAAAGGATCCTTAATTAGAACTTCCGAGCGTGGGCCTTGGAGAGGAGAGGAAACCTGAATCTCCTCACAGGACAGGAAATTCTGCGCAGTTTGCAGGCCCTACCCAAGAAAACTAACCAACGTGCCTCGCCAGGCCAACAGGAGCAGCCCACACACCGCAGCCCAGCCTGATGTGTATAAATAAATAAATAAATATATATATATATACACAGATTTAGAGAGAGCTATAAAAACGCGGCCCGACACATACAGCTTCGAAAGATGATTACGGCAAGAAAAAACCTATAGGCAATGCAGTGGGGCGCAACCATGCCTACTGTAGGCTCCAAAATGCAAAAATGCAAAAATTCCAAACAAAGGTTGAACACGCGACTGCAAAGCGCACTACTAACGCAAAAGGCTGGTTGCGTTACAATGGCCTGTGAGGAGGTGGGAAGCCATCACGGCAGCTACAGCAGAGCGATCAAGCAGGCGACCGCAATTATGCATAGCTTCGGCCGCGTGCCCCCTACACAAAACTAAACGAATGGCCCGGGAGCGTGGAAACACGAGAACCCCCAGTTTTTGGGCGCGCTGTGCAATGTAGGAAGGTATGTGAAGAAGCCCATTGAAAGACTTTCTGTGGCATAGGTGTACCTGGCAATCAGGGGAAATTAGTTGATCTAACTTGGCCACACGATGCGCTACAAACTAAATACGGCAGTGTAACATGAAGAAACGTTGGCGCCGCCAATCATCCCGCTCCCCAGCGACGCGCCGAATTCACACCAGTTTTTTCGCGCCTCCAGTGGCACGGACTCACGAAAACACACTTTCCACCAAGGCCGCGCAGAACCGAATGAACACAGACGTAATTTGGCCACGTGCGCAACAGACTAGATGCAACAATGTAACGCCCAAGCCTCATGAGTGGACACCGCCAATCATCCCGCTCCCCAGCGACACACCGAGTTTACACCAGCGTGGTTTCCTTCCCCCAATATGGCACGGACTCACGCAAACGCATTTTCCACCGACACCGCGCAAAACCGCATGGCAGCGACATCGCAAACGTCATTTCGCCACACGGTGTGCCACAGACTGGTTCTCAAGCCACAGCTCCCAGAAACTGCTTCCTGTAATGCACGTCTACTAGCAAGTGGCGAGTTCTGAGCCCACAGTATTGCACGCTGCCAAATGGCCAGTTCTGAGGCCACAGCATCAAAGTGGCCAGTTCTGATGCCATCTGAAGAAACGGCGCCGGAGGCTGGATGTTGCCAGAGTGTGCAACTGCCGCCAAAAACGAAGGTGGAGGTGGTCAAAGTGTGTAACTGCCGTTGACAACAAAAATGGAGGCTGCCAATTGCCAAAGTGTGTGTAATAACTGTCGCCAAAAGCGAAAGACCGTCATCGAAAACGATGGTGGAGGTTGCAAAAAACCGTGTGTAACTGTTGCCAAAAACGAAGGTGGAGGTTGCCAAAGTTCGTAACTGTCGTCAAAAACGAAGGTGGAGGTCGCCAAAGTGTGTGTAACTGTCATAGAAATGGGAACTTTGTAGCGCAAATACAACGCGGGCTGCAAATACAGCGCCGTAGAGCGCTGGCTCCATGAAGAACTTAACCATGAATAAGCTTCCGGTCGGGGAGAGTTGAGTCAGTTTGCATGAGATGAACGTGGACCGCCTACAAGCAACAGAGGTGAGTCAACTCCAGACGACGTTTACTTAGAACCTATATGAAGCCATGAAATCTTTTATTTAAGACGTTTACCTATCTGCGAAAAGGAAAGGGGAAAGCCGACAGAGAGTGTGCGAGCGCGCACCTTGCAAAGCTTTTGCTCACCTATGAAGATGTCCACGCAGTGCTTGGGCAAACGCAACTGCTATTCACCACCCCTGTGCACCGATGAGCGTTTGGACCTGGAAATTTCAACCTTCCTTGCTGAATCCGAGCGTGGAAATTGTTGAAGGTGGAGAAGGTTGGACGCACTGCGTTTCTGTTTACTGAGGTTTTGTCAGGGCTCTTGGGGAGTCAGCCTACGCGCGACTCTCTTTGGATAACTCCGGGGTAAGCCTGAAGAGTGCCAAACGTGGACCAGCGGAGCTGGTGGGTGCGTGTTACCAGGGACGCAACCGTGTTACCACAACCCGTAGGGGACAATAGGAGCCTCATGCAAATGTCATAGCCGATTGAATCCTCAAAGCCTCTGTGTCACTTGAGCCCTCTAAACCTTGTGGCTGATCCTTGTCGAATTCTACAAGCGCACAAGCGACGGTTGGGTCGTAGCTGGGAGCATCATCGTTTTCTTTCCTTTCTCCGCTGCCCTTTCTTCTTCCCCCCGCTGCCTCAGGCCACAGAGGCCCACTACATGCTCGACTATGGCAGGTTTCTACCCGATCAATCGATCGTATTGACATTTTTGACCGCCCATCGCACTAGTCTTTCAGTTTCTTTAGCAGTCACCGCCAACCAGCGCAGAAAAAAACACTTCCCTGCTCATCATTGTTTACACTACTAGACTATCTTCATTACTCTTGCAAGGTTCTCCTTCCTTTGAACTCCGAAGCCGTTTTCACTATCAGGTATGACCCACTCTGCCCGCGGTGCATCCTCAACACGTGTCCCATCCATGGCTTCCAAGACTCCAGACTATGGTCCTTCAAGCTTAGCCCAGAACTCCGACTCGCCACCGCAGCTGCTATACAAGACACTGCCAGCCATCGAAGACGTCTCTGCGTCCACCAAGCATCTAGCGCGATCCACATCTTCATCCCCTGCGCAGCCTATCGCCGCACCACCTTCCGGACCACCGCCAACCGTTGATCCTACCCAAGTACAACACCCT